CACACACACACACACACACACACACACACACACACACACACACACACACACATACTTTTTCAAACACCCATAGTTCTGAAACTCAACCCTAGTCCAGGGAAACTGTAGAAAGAAAGAAATTGGGCAAAAAGGCACACTCAGATCCCCAAAACCGAAATCCAAAAATGATTGAAAATGATCAGAAAATCAAAATTTCTGATGGAATGCTGAACCGCCCGGTGCCTTGTCCTTGAAACCCAAGAAGTGAGCAAACCAAACCCCTGTTAGGACGGACTCGAATCTTTTCCATGCTAGCATCAGAATTCAAAGGTCAGTCATATAGGGAAAGGGTGCAAGGAAAAACACAGCGGAAGACTCCATCACATGAACAGATCAATGGAATACATGAACCATGTACCCAGAAGCTGATGTGGGCAGGAAATGACTCACACACAGTGGAGACGGAAGCATACATGGAAGAATGGTCCCCACTCAATCATGCTCAGACAAAGGGAAGAGGAAGAAGTGAGCAAGGACTCGAGATATGGCAATGTGAAGAGAATAATCTCCATAGTAAAGGAACAATTACACACAAGTAAGAACATATATAACAAGTTACAAATACAATAAATGGCCCTCAGCAAGGAGGGTGGTGAGGGCGCTGGAACGACAAGCGACTGCACTGCTGTGGAGAGGAAAATGTCAAAACGTCATCAGCAGAGTGGCTTGGAACTCGATTATACAGCCAAAGGACTGGGGAGGCCTGGGAATAATTCATCCGACTTCTCAAGTCACCACCCTCACCATTCAGTGGATAAAACATCTTTTGTTCATACCCCATATCCCATGGCGGGCCCTAGCACGCGAACAGATCGCACAGCTGCCCCCCCAGACCCCACCTAACATTAACCCCCTGACCTGGCTGGAGGACCGATATTGGACCATCCCACGCCGCTTTACTTCAGAGGAGGAAATGGACGTGGCCCACGTCACAAAAGAACTGGAGAAACAAAAGCATTCTTTTGACCGGCCTGGGGGTGAGGTCCACCAGTAGAATGCTCCGCCCCGGAATAAAACTCAAGGATATCTATCGTGAGGAGCCGATGGATGACGCAGCTGAATGTTGCGAGGGATGAGGTCTGGCCCATCCGCTGGTTTACAGCGACCAGAACCAGACCGGCCAAACTAGCTTCCCTACAGTGGCAGATAGAGCACCGCTTGGTTGATTGTCTGCACGAACCTGGAACAGAAGGGGATGGCCGTTCCGTGGTGCTAAAGTCGTGTCAAAATAGTTTTCCCTCCCCCAAAATCATGGAGATCATAGAACATATACTTCTACAGTATCCGGGTGCAGTCCTCACATGGCGCCGGTGGGACAGAATACGGCGTCGGTTAGGCACCAGCACTGTTTGGCCATGAGAGTGGAGAGCACTTCTGTGTGACGCTCCCCGCAGGACGACGCCTTTGAGGAAAACATGTTTAAGGCTTTAAGCTAGGAAGGAGGGCGGTCCTCTGGGCCCTGTGGCGGAAACGTTGTATACATGTCCTGGAAGGGGCACAGGTGGATGGATAGGAAGTCGCCAAGATGATAAAACAACATCTACAGACATATCTCACAGAACAATGGGCAAAAGTGAAGTCACAGTTGGATCTATATCACACTAAAAAAGACTGGATCGTTAGAATCCACTGGGGGGGGGAGAGACTAACCCGAAGCCCAAGTGATCACAGGAGATTACAGTCTGAGATTCAAAGGCTGGACCAAGATGTACTGCTGCGGCCCCCATCCCAGACCTCTTCCCTCCCCACCAGCAGTTGTGGATCTGCAGTGGTACGGCGGGTGCATCAGCTGAGAGGATCCAAATAGGCAGAGCGCAGCCAGTGATACTTCTGTATATCTGACAATCATAGAGGGCTGAAGTGGCCCTGCAGCTGTCATGAGAAAGCCATGACCCGTGTATGAGGGGCCGAGCAGATGCCAAAACCGGGTAATGGCCCCGGGAATGGAGTTGAAAGATTGTAACATGGGACACTGGACCCAGTTTCCAGCAGGTGCTGCTTCCCAAAAATAGACCAGAGCATCTAGAGGAAAGGGCCTGCTAGAGGGGGATGCTCTTATCACTCCAGCAAGCAGACCCTGCCCACTGCGAGCAGATTTAAAAAAAAAAAAAAAAACACAAAACTAAAGAGAAGAAAGCCAAACTCGCAGAAAGTGCCAGGAACATCAAAACTTCAGAAGCACCATGGCACCAGTGAGGCACCGGCCACCATGTCCACTGACAAATCGACGAGGAGCAAATCAGCAGACATGAGTCGGCCCAGGCACCAGCCCTGGCTGGGCCAGAGGGCAGGTGCCAACCTTCATAGCTGAGCTTCGCTGCTCCAGGTTGGGCGACTAGCCAGACAGCTACAAGAAGAGCTCATCAGTTTAATCAGGGCGGAGGAGTGTGCTAACGCAGCGAGTTGTGGGCAGAGAGCCCAGCAGAACAAGGGAGAGCTGAAGAGTCATTCCAATTGTAAGGATTGATTATTCATAAAGCTATCCTCCTCCTCTCTACTGCTTCTCTACCTCTGTCTCACTGCCCGTTACTCACCGCTGATTCTGGGACTCCTTCGAGTGCTTCATGACTTGTTCGGCATTGTGATTTGTTCGACTTCGAGTGCATCAGAATACTTGCATGTTCTTGTTGTTGAAGCTTCTCACGATTACTGGGCTCATTACAAGTTTATCATAGTCTGTCCAGCCTCAAGCATAAAAATCGACCCTCAAATGAGCACTTGTGTCGAATCTTAGCCAGCATAGATCAATATCGTTGCACAAGCATGTGAAGTTGTAAAAGCCTAAAGCATTACCCACATTAGCTTGGGAGATATGTTGTGTTGATGATTCCAAGCTGCTGTGGGTAATGGTTTGGGGGGTTACAGGCTTGTGCAACGATATTGATCTGAGCAGGCTAAAATTCGACACGTGTGTTCATTTGAGGCCCAATTGAGGGTAGATATTTCTGATTGAGGCTGTACATATCGTTGCACACGGCTGTAAGTCCCAAAACCATTACCCACAGCACAACGCCTAAATCACCAACAAAAATGCCGGACCACAACACAAACATTGCCCCTAAATTGCCAGCAAAAACGCCATGCCACCAAGACTGCAAACAAAAACAGCAGGCCACTATGACACAGACCTCAGGGTCCGATGCCACAACCCAGAACTCAACCACTGAAATCCAGGCCCAACACCGCTGATCCAAATCCCATGATCAGAGTTGCATTCTTGCGGAACTACAAGCCTGAAAACACCCAAGCCGCTAACCAGAGGAATGGTCAGATCACCAATCGAAACACACCCTAATCCAAACATCTTTAAAAATCCACCCAAACAAGTGCAAATTTGCCAGGTAATGGGCAATGAGACAAGAGGGACTGTGAGGAAGGGCATTCGTGGGCGTATGAAAAAACACACAATCGGCAAAGAAAGCGGCAAACTTGGGCCAAGTACCCCCCCCTGATTGTTGACAGACAGGCAAGAATGGCAACACTGTGCCTACAATCTGGTGAATCAAGAACTCGTAAGGGAGACCAGTACAAAATAAGCAAACAAGTGGACTTACATGAAGTCTGATAATATCCTGGCCGTGATGATTCCTCATTCAGGAAATACAACATTTGCTGAGTACTAATCAGTAGAAGCACATCCCTGCACCAAGGAACAGAGAATTCCGCAACTTCATTAATCAACACACAGAGAATTCCGCAACTTCATTAATCAACACACAGAGAATTCCGCAACTTCATTAATCAACGCAGATCAAAATGCAATGTGCATCCATGCAACCAACCATTTGCAAGTTTTTGTAGAAGCCCACTTATCCAGCATGAGTTCCGGGCGATCTCTCTTATGGGCCAGCATTCGAGGAAACAGATTCAGTAGTCACTGGCCACAGTGCACTGCAAAGACAACTTCTCAAATTTGCCATTGTTCCAGACCCAGTGAGAGCAAGACGCCCGCCAAAAAGTTTGGGTGCTGCAGGTGCAGGTAGTTTGAACCACCACTAACTTTTGAGACCGTCCACTGGTAACCAGGATGCTGACCCCTTCTCAAATGATTTGTTGAATTGATGATCTGATGGCCACACTTTTTCCCCCTGTTTGGAGTGGTTGGCCCAATGCTACAGCTTCGGCCTCTGGGAATGGATTGAGCTTGGGGCATTATGGGCGATACCTGAGACAAGAACTGGGCGGCCAATGCATGGATCATGACGAGGCCAAGGAACCTAGCTCAGTTGCTACACCCACGAACTGTTCCTGAGGTCACCATGACTGTCAGCTCCCTCCGCGGTCAGATCTCCTTCGACGTCATGCACCTCATGTGTGACGTCTTCCTGCCCTACTCTTTCTACCCCTCTTCCGTCCACCTCTCTTCTACTCCGAACTCTACCCTTGACATCCCTTGCATTCTTCCTCCTACCACCCCACCCCCGGTCGCCCCCCACCAATTCCTCCACATGCCTCGCCAACACCCTGACTCTGCCTACTATTGCCTCGTCATCGACCGCGAACGCCCTCCGGACTTGATCCCAACGGACAAACCCGACCAAGCCCCCCCATCCGACCTTCGCATCACCTCTCTCCTCTCAGAATTCAAGGGCATTTTCCCCGAGTCCTTGCCTGCCAGCTTGCCACCTGATCGCGGTGTATCTCACACCATCGACCTCGAACCCCACCATTCTCCTCCTTGCAGCCCTCTGTACCAACTCTCCGTCCCCGTGGCCGAAGAGATGAAGCGCCAGCTCAATGAATCCTGAACTCCTTGAAAAGGATTCATTAAGCCTAGCTCATCCCCCTTCGGAACGAGCTGTCTCTTCGTCAAAAAGAGCGGCACCCCAGAGCTCTGCATGTGCACAGACTACCGTGCCTTGAACCGGATCACGATCAAGAATAAGTATCCACTCCCCCGGATATCTGAACTCCTTGATCGTCTCCACGGAGCCAAAGACTTCACCAAGATTGACATCCGCAGTGGGTTCCACCAGATCCGTATTCGCGAGGAAGATACCCACAAGACCGCCTTCCGCTCTCGCTTCGGGCATTACGAGTTCCTTGTGATGCCTTTCCGCCTCACAAATGCCCCAGCGACCTTCCAGTCCACCATGAACCACATATTCCGCGATCTCCTCGAAGTCTGTGTCGTGATCTAGCTCGACGACATCCTTGTCTTCAGTCCCACCTTCAGCACATCGAGAAGGTACTTCCCATCCTCCGCGAGCAAAAGTAATATGCTAAGCTTAGCAAATGTACTTTTGCCACCTCGAGCATGGAATACCTTGGCCACATTATCTCTGCAAAAGGTATCCGCATGGAGCCCTCGAAGGTCGCCGCTCTCGTCGAGTTCCCACCTCCCACCACCTTGCGCCAACTCCGGTCATTCATTGGACTCGCTAACTACTACCGCCCCTTCATCCAAACGACACCGCCTATCCACTCCATGAGCTCAACCACGCCATCGAGTCCTTCACATGGACCGAACGCCGCCAAGCCGCCTTTGACAAACTCAAACACCTCATCACTACTGCCCCTATTCTCAAGAGCATCGACCCTTCTCGCCACTTCTACGTTACCATCGACACTTCGGACTTTGCCCTCGGAGCCATTCTATCCTAACATTTCCCTCGCGACCCCCCTACAATCAAGGATTCCCCCACACGATCCGAAGCACCTCCCGGCGAGTACCCTATCGCATTCGCGAGTAAGAAGCTCATCGCTGTTGAGATGAACTATCCCTCCAATGAGAAGGAACTCCTCGCCATCATCTATGCCCTTAAAGTCTAGGGTCCTTCCCTCGATGGCCAGTACTTTACCATTCGCACCAACAACACCGTTGTTTCCAGCATCCTCACCATAAAGGATATCACCCCTCGTCAGGCCTGCTGGCTAGACTTTCTCGCCCAGTTTACCTTCACCATCTGCGACTTTCTCGCCCAGTTTACCTTCACCATCTGCGACTTTCTCGCCCAGTTTACCTTCACCATCTGCCATACTCCCGGCAAGACCAACCTCTCTCGCCGACCCGACCACAAGCCCCCCGAGAAAGTCTTCGCTGCCATGACTCATGTCAACCTCCCCCAATCTCTTCGACATCATTTCACCCATGGCTACGCTTCCTGCCCCAACTTCGCCCCTACCTACACCAAACTCCGCGACCTTGACATTGTCCTTGACTACTCCCTCATCAACCACCTCCTCTACATCGACACCAAAGGAACCCGCCGCCTTTGCATCCCTTCCTTTCGTGGTCTCCTTACCCAATTCTTGGTTGAGCACCACGACGCCAAGACTGTTGGACACCTCGGTTTTCAGAAAACCTTTGACAATATATCCCGTTACCTCTATTGGCCCTGCCGACGTCAAAGCCTACATCCGTTCTTGCCCATTTTGCCAGGCCGCCAATCCCTCCAACCAAGCCAAGGCTGGCAAACTCCAGTCTCTCCCCATACCCACCCACCGCTGGCAATCCGTCTCCATGGACTTCACCTGTGGTCTCCCACGACCGACCATGGTCACGATTGCATCTATGTCGTTGTCTGTCGCCTTATCAAAAGCGCCCATTTCATCCCTTGCATCACCACCTGCCAAGCCACGAACGTCGCCAAACTCTTCTTCAACCACATCACCCGTCATCACCGTCTCCCTGAAAACATCATCAGCAATCGTGACTCCCAATTCCTCTCACAGTTCTGGAGAAAACCTCTTCAAGGAGTACGGGACCACCCTCAAGTACAGCACCACCTTCCATCCCCAGAGTGATGGCCAGACAGAGAAAATGAACGATACTCTCCAACGCATCCTCCAAACTTATTGTCATCCCCATCAACACGAATGGGACTAGCTCCTCCCCGCTGCCGAGATCGCCTACAACAACGTCGTCTGCCCCTCCACTAGCATGTCTCCTTTCAACCTCGACCTTGGCTACCATCCTCACTTGCCCTCTGACTTCTTGCTCCCCTCGCAGCTCAACCCATCCACTCCCTGTCCCTCCCTCAGTGAATGGGTTGCAACAATGAAACGCCTCCTAAGAGAAGCCACAAAATCTATTCAACGAACTTAGGAACAACAAGCCAAGCAAACGAACAAACATCGCTGTAACGTCACTTTCCATGTTGGGGACAAAGGTTGGCTCTCCCCCAAACGCTTTGATCCCGAACAAGGCTTGTCCAAGAAACTCTCGAACAAGTGGCTCGGTCCATTCCCCATCATTGAACAAACCTCCGCTGTAAACTACAAGCTCCAACTCCCTCCTGACATGAACAGTGTCCATCCTGTCTTCCATGTAGAATACTTGAAAGAATTCCACGAATCACCGCCTCAGTTCTTTGATCGCCCTAATCCTCGTCCATCACCTATCATGCTTCCCACCGGTCCTGAATTCTCTGTGGAATCAATCATCGGTCGTAGAACAATTCAAGTATCCAACCACCCCGAGCCTATCAAAGAATATAAAGTAAAATGGACTGGCTACCCAGACGAAGAATCAACATAGGAACCCCTTGCAAATCTAAAGAACACCATGAGACTTGTTTGTGCCTATGATCGTACCCACCCTGTATCATAACTATCTACTGGCCTATGCCTCGACCCGTACATACCTACTCTACACACACCACCCCCAAACCCAGCCTAACCCTACCCTTGATCTTGATCTCTCGCTGTCTGGTCCACCCTCGCCTCAGCCTAGTCCTTCCCATCTGTCCTCTACCACACTCTCTGTCTCTCTTGACCAATGGTTGTGGACCTGTGTGACGCCGGCGATAAAGGATCTAATGGCAAGCGCACGAGGACGATGACCTGCTGCCTCATGATCATGGAGATAATTCAGCTGGTTTGGCCACCATGCTGTTTCCTTGGCCGGCATCTAGAGCAGCGACATGTGATCTGGACCTTTGCATCAGTCTGCAATTTCCTTGCTACCGGATCAGACCTCCTTGCAGTTCATGAACCGGATGCACTCCAACACTTGGACTTTGGACACTTTTACTCCTACTTCGCTTTCCTGCAATTTGGACAACTACCTGTTGCAGCCGCTGAAGACCGGTTCTCTCACCTACCCTGGATCTGATCAAGACCTCCGAAGACCTTTCTCAACACATTTTTTGCATTTTGACACTTTGTTACAGACCTGCGACTTTGCTTTCCCAGATCCCTCAGACACCCCAGCCCTTGAGCATTGAACAAACAGTTCTTATTTTCTATTTCTCAAACCTGACAACCTATAACCTTGTAGAACATCAATAGGACTGCCCTGTTACTTGTAGAACCTCAATAGAATTACCATGTTACTTGAACATTGCTACCCTCATCCTTGTAGAACCTCAATAGGATTACCCTGTTACTTGAACATTGCTACCCTCACCCTTGTAGAACCTCAATAGGATTACTCTGTTACTTGAACATTGCTACCCCCATCCCTGTAGAACATCAATAGTATTGCAAGTTGCAGAACCTCCACTGCCCTGTTACCTGAACATTGATACCTTCCCCCTTGTAGAACATCAGTAAGATTGCCCGGTTACTTGCATTACTCCCCTTCTCCTTTTCAGATCAGTGATCGGCCCCCTCCCGTCCTTCACAGTTCTTCACTTGGTCCTTGGCAGCCGGGACGTTGCCTTCYCGAGGGAGGGGATAGTGTTACGAACCAGCCAGGGCTCGATCCCTGGTCTGCGGGCCACAAGCCCGCCTGCAGCCTTTCGTTGTTTTCTGCTGCAGCCCTGTTTTGGCGCCACTCCCAAAATCCCAGTTTTTGAAGTTTCATGCCCAGGGCCTTGCAGACCCGGTCCCCGCTTGGCACGGCCAACCGATATATACATCGGCCGCCCGTACCATCGGGCAACCAGTTTTCAGCTACTGTGCTTGCTTTGTGTGACTGGCCCCTTCGGCATCGAGAATTGAAGACTTCGGCTTTGAGACTCCGCTACCTTGTCTGCATCCGTAGAGTCTGTCAGCCGTGTCGAGTGAGTGAGTGTGTGTGTGTGCTCTCACTCTCTCTCCCTCTCCTCTCCCTCTCCTCTCCTTCCTCTCTCTCTCTCTTCTCTGCCTCTCGCGTGTTGCAAGATTGGCACAATGACAGCAATGACGACAAAGATGACAATGATGATTACAACGGCCGTCTTGATGATGATGATGATAACAAGGGCAATGACGATGATAATGATGAGATTATCAAAGTATGGTGATCAACTATGATGATAGATAGAGTTGTTGCAGCCATCGATTGGCCACTGATCCACCGGTTCCAAGGTTAAGACAGGCTAATTGGGGCCCTGCTAATGGTCAGTCAGAGATGTCACACGTGGTGACCAACAATGGCACATACATCAGTGCACACTGTAATAGGATTGGGGCACTGCCTGAAGACAAGACAGCAAGCTTTGCGGATTATGCTGATTGAGCCTGATTCCTTTTTCCTCCTTAAACTCTCTCTTCTGTGGATAATATGACATGACATTATTATTATGATAATATTTTTGCTTACTCCATAGCACTGCAGGTCCATGCAGGAGGTAAAATGGGATCAAATTCGATCAATTCGATTTGCAGGATTTATTTGCTATTATGCAGGATGCAGGATAAGTTCGCAGCATTTGCAGCATTGGCTTGGTAGGATGCAGGACACATGGACAGATAGCAGCACTTGGTGGTCATGGACTCGTGGTACTGGAAATGATTGTCGAGGACAATGCAGAAGATGAGACTATTGGCAGAGCGATGGACTGGAATATGAAAATTTTAATATTGCAATTTTTACTCGTTTGAGCTTGATAGTCTTGAGTTGCTCAACTCAAATCCATGCACACCTTTCCTTAGTTGCAGGACCCCAGAGTCTCAGGTATCCACATCTCCAGTACATCATGCATTCCTCTGTCCTCTCTTGATCAGCAATTGCAGTCTTGAAACACACACCAATATCATCCTCCCTAGCATCATTCTCCACAGGGGCCGCAAACTGTTCAAGCATCCTCTCGTCAGTTTCCATCCCTATACGTTTTTCACTCCCTCCCTTCTCACAGGTATCAGCTCCATCGCTACTTTGTACACGTTCCACAGCTGCTCCTTGCAACTGCCAGCATGACAGTTCACCAGATGCCTCCTCAATTGTACGCATGTGAATGTTTGCATCTCTGTTGGAATGCACATCCGCTTCCGGGTCGTTTACCTGCTGACACTCTGACAACTCCTCCACGCCATGGGCTGATTCGGAACGCTGCACATCACAGCTCTCATAAGTCTTTTGTCGGCTATTCTTAAGGCCAATGAACAAAAAACGTTCACATCCATTGTCATGATCGGCCTTTAGTCTAGAGTTTTCCGCACAGTCATTTGCAGGACCTGTTGCCGTGACTACAGCCCCGCTCGACAGTCTTACCTCCCAAGCAATCCTCTTTCGCCAATCATTCTCATCCTCATCAACCAATGACAAATTGACTATCCTCTTTGTGTGTTTACGGTTCCGTCTTGACCTGCGCTCATTCCAGGTACGACATCCAGATGCTAGGGCAGCACTTGGAGACTCCACTTGACCCGCTGCACCTTCTCCGTTGCTGCGGTACCGCATGCCAATACCTACATGAGCTGTTGAGCTGTCACTATGATCTTTCACACCAACACAACTCTGCTCAGCATCCGCACTTCTATTCTTTGCACCTTTCTTTCCATCCATGCCTGCCTTGTCCATGCTGGAAATCTTGGCAACATTGGCCTCCATATCCACTCTGCAGCATTCCCCTTCATCTTGAACACCTCTTCCAATCTTTTGTCCAGCAGTCACTTGCCTGCCTGCCTTCTTACGTCTTATTTTGGTACAATTTCCTTCCGGCTTACCCCGCTCATCTCCAACAGTGATCGGTAGTGCACCTTCGGACTCCTCCTCCTGAATCCGAACGCGTGACCTTCCTGTAACAGGCACCTCATCTGTTTCGCTCTCATCTGTCCACTCAACAGAACTGCTCTCGCTGCTTGTTTCCTGCTTGTCTACAGCACTCAACTGAGAATCTACAGAAGAAGGCGGTCCACTTCGGACTCGGCAAGGTGGTGCACTTTGAACTTGGCACGGGTGTGCAGACCCGGTCTCCATACTGCCTGATGTCTGTTGGATATGTTTGGAGGAAATTGAAATTCCCATTTCCATTGAGTTTGAATGAACCCCATATATGAGTTGTCTCTGCTTTCTTTTCTGAAGTTGCAAAGATGCTCCATCCGTGCATGCCTGTGAATCCATTGGAGAAGCCTGGATGCAATTTCCACTCTCGCCTTCAGTCCCTATCTCTCCTCCAACACAATCTGTTGCTGAGTTCAAACCCCTTTTAGTTCCCATGTCAGCCCCCACAAGTTTCTTATCCCCTCTGTCACCTCCATGGAGGATTGCTTGGCCACCTTCCTCACACATATTACACTTGCCTTTACAGATATGTGCATCATTCGCATCACCATCCATGTCTTGAACATTACTTTCCTCCTCCCTACGCTCCTTTTCCCCAACACTTTCCCCATCACCTACCATCTTACGATCTCCTTCACATTTCTTCAGAGTTCTCCCCCCGGGAAGTAGCTGCTGGACCTCCGAATCTCCGGATAGGTCATATGTCCTCGAAAGCAGGCCGCCTGTTGCACTCCCCTGATGGATGCCTTCCAACAAGCCACTTTCCTCATGACCAGAAATGTGCACCCTCTCCTCCACATCCCGGGAACAACGGCACACGTCATTCCTTCTACCATTGTCTCTCATCACCCCTCTGCTCACTTTCTCCATCTTTTCAATTCCATTCTCATCTCTATCCCCCGACCGCACCACATTGTCACTGTCCAAGATAAATTCCCTTGCACTATCTGGTCCTTCCATCCTTCCTTTTTCTTCACCACAACCTCCATGCCCATCCCTTACTTCCTCAGCTGTGGTTTCCATATCTGTTACTTTTCGGGCTTCCTTGATCACCGCTCCACTTGGGACATCATCAGAATCATCACCGCGTTGTGTAGTGGAAGATCTGTAAGGTCCATGCTCGTTGCACGTTTCCTCGGCATGGCTTTTTTCCACGAAATCGTGATATGCCTTCAGCCATGCATTACCTCCATCTTTTTTTAGGGTTTCTGCAATTTCCAGTAGCTTGTCGCCTTTCAGACACATCAACGTGGATGTTCCACGTTCTGCAGTCTTCGCCTTCCTCAACCCCTTTTTTGCTGTAGCCACACTTCTGGTGCCTGCGCTTAACTGTTCAGTATTCCTCCCAAACGGTCTTTGATAACTTTCACATTTGACTTCATCATCTCCCATCTGCTCTCCGGTGAATGCATCTGCACTTTCGTCATCATCACTTATGATCTCAGCAAGTCGAGTAACCCTTCTCTGTTACACATAAGAGTAAAAATATCACAAATTTGTCACCTTTCTGCCGATGCAAAGCCAAAATTAGGTCTCCACCATCTCCTAGGATAACCTGGATAGCAAAGATTAGAGGTGAATTGCACGCCTTTCACAAATAGAAAGCAACGGCATAGATATGGGTAGATAGTGTGAGGCGAGAGAGAAGAAAATAGGGTAGGTGAACGGTGAAAATACAATTGTCACCCATTTACAGGAAGAAAAAAAAAAAAAAAAAAAAAAAAAACAAGGGACAAACTTCCACGATACCAAACAATGACACCCATGCTGAGATTTCAGAGAATGCAATTCCCCTTCTTCAACACATTGCACAATATCCTACAAGAGCACATGTCATGTCACATTACCATAGTGTGATGACCCGTCCAAACATGGACTGAAACCCACGACTGATTTCTGAGTTTTGCCCATAGACTGAATGCCTTGCTGAGTTTCCCGCCTGCTACTAAGTCTGTGTGTGCACGTTTGCTGGACTGCATGTCTGTCTGAGTGCTGGTTGGCTTGAGTGTGTGCATGGCCGTGCCTGTCTGAGTGCTGGTTGGCTTGAGTGTGTGTGTGGCCCGCAAGGGCACTTGCTCGTTCATGGGGCCCTCAGGGCCGGTACTTACCTGTGGCCGTGACATTGAGGGATTGCAGCAGGAAAAACACTCAACTAGCAGGTGGGCCAGTACCGCACCCTGAAGAGGTAGATGTGCGGGTACTGGAGGCCGAGCAGAAGAAGACAAAAGTGGAATTTTTAGAGGCCCAGTAGTTGTAGGTTAGGTCTAGGCGGATACCAGTCCAACCAGTCTGGGTCTAGGGCCTGTACGGGCAATATCAGAGTCTGCAATGATGTTTCCCTCCGAAAGGGAGGAGGTACCGGTTGCTTAGAAGGCCGAGCGGCCTGGAAGTCACCGCCCGAAGAGGCAAGCAGGCTGCTATATCTCCCAGCCGGGCGAAGAGCCCGGCCTCATTGTCGATGTGCAAGTTTGGCGACACACTGGTTGGAGCGCTGGCTGGAGCAGCGCTAGCTTGGAGCAGCATTGTTGGGGAAGAACAAGGACACAGAGGAGGAAGAAGGACAGGAAGGGGGAGGAGCGCCAGGGGTACTTACCTGGCTATGGTGGCAGCCATCTTCATCCCCTTGGTGGGCGCTGCGGCAGGGAGTCCCCAACTGGGGAGCCAGAAAGCTTCAAGGCAGGGTCGGGCATGGCGGCCTGAGCTAGAGCAGCCATAGCTGCTTTGGGTTGTCCTTTGGGCATCTGGGCAAGGCCTAGTAGTCCGCCATAGCCTCGGCCTATGAGAGTGAAGAATGGGAGAGGTGGCCATGGCTATGGTGGACCTCAAGTGATACCTGCAGTAGAAGAGGAACTCGGACATTGATTCTGGATCAGCCATTCAACATTGTATTATTATTTCTTGTACGAATAAGAGAAGGGGGAGATAAGGAGGAGGAGATTGTTGGGCGAAGAAGAAGAGCCT